ATCAGTCTTGACAAACCTTGTAATAATGACTGTCCTTGTAATAAAGGAGGCAGAATATGTATAAAATCCAGAGATTCTGTTTCCTTTTCAATAAAAAGATAATGAAGCTGCACATAAAACATTTGATGAAAAAAGAAGCTTGGTTTGTGGAAAGTATTACCAGAAACATGCTAATCCTCAGAAGGGCAGAAACAATACCTATTGTGACAGAGAAAAAATACATGCTGTTTCTGAAAGTTTAATGTCTACAAAAAAGCCTGCAGTACAGACAAGGATCGTTGAAAGAATTCTGGTTTATGTATTTTCTTTGATACGGTACAGCTAGCATGAAAATTTTTACATAGACAGACTTAAATATCTTATATTACAAAACATTCCTGATATGCTGAACTTCACAAAACTAATCTCATTAACCCTTGTAATGCACTTTGCATATATAATAACAAGTTCATGCAAAACCAAGGTAAAATAAGGAGACTGTACAAAGACATCTGTATTAAAAGGCAACCCAGTTTATTTAGCAGGGTTTGTTAATGTGATGACCCATTAACTTTTGTCACTATCTCAACTGCATTCTTTAGAAACTCAGATGACACAATTCATATGATGAAAGACCTACTGGACAGAATTTTCAAGAAATTCATGGTATAGGTAGACTAAATACCAAAGGAGACAACAAAAAACTGAAAAACCCTGGACAACTCCTTGCTTGAAATGAAGTTATGACTGAATGTTTCTGTTCATTAAAATAAGAGGCCTAAAACGTATTCCTATATTTGTGCAGTACATTCCATTTTTAGCTATTCATCTATATTCAGCTTATATTGCATTCTTCTGGAATTGAGATATGCAGTACTTTTAAAAAAGTTAATAATATTCAAATCTTGAGAAGAAAAACTATTTCTGTTCCAAAAGAAACAGAATCCTTATGAATTACAAAAGAAATTCTGATATACCTTAATATTTAATGAATTTAAATGGAATTCCTATCAGAAGTGACAGAACAGAGTCACTTTCTATAAATGAGATCTAAGATAGATAACATACTTCTTCCAGAATCTAGGAAAAATTTTTCTTCCAGCATTAAATACTATATGAAAATAAAACCACTAATTTAGGGTAAAGTAGTATCAAAAGTAATATACCAGAAAATACAATATGAAATAATGTTATGCTTGAAAGAATTTATAACATACTTACTTTTCAGTATATTTTTTTTATTACTAATTCTACCTCTAGGGCTTTTTGCATCTTTAACTACTATTTAGTAACTGTTACTACACCTCTGGCCTGCCTAAGTTCATGAAGAGCCCTGGGTTGCTTACAAGATAGGTAAGAGTCAGGAAATATTTAGCAACTGTGAATAACTGAATAGATTTGCTTACAGAATGAACTTCCAGGGTTGGACCGACTACTGGATTTTCAGTTTGCTACAGTGAAAAAAGCAACAGTTCTAGAACAAACTTAATAATTAGTTCTTTTAGCCAACTCAAATAATACAATCTTAGAAGTAACTCCTAGAGATTCAGAACATTTATTTGAAAGACCAGAGCTCACTGACTTTTAAAGCAGGGTAAATTTTAATATACAACAGTGGAAGTTTCTAGTGAATCTGTTTTGAACTTTGGTAGTTTTCAGACACACAGTCCCAGCCTAAAATGTGGTTCATTTTCTAATGTTAATTGATTTTCAGCACATGCTTAAGATTACTACTAAAATTAGGGCTGGTTTACAGTGAGGTTTTTGTCCTCTTTTGTTCTGAGACAGAGACACAAGTAGAAAAAGCATTCACTTTAGCAAGGAGGAAACAGAACAGGGATGTTGGGTATTATTTTATGAGATTAAATGAGGAAAAAAAAATAGTGGAAGAAAACAAAAAGTTTCAGAAGTGACAAATTCAAGATGTGTATTTTGATACAATGCAGCTTTAATTTATATACTGCAAAATCTTCATACTTAACATATTCATGCTGCAGAGTTCCCAAACCACCAAAATTTGGATTTCGTTGTTTACATGATGTTCTCAAGGGTGCATAATTCTGTTAGTC